CAAACTAGAACACGGGCTTTCTGGCATGAAAGCCTTGGTCATCCCAAACATGCTTCCTGGGCAGTGGGTTACCATAGCAATCTTAAAACCGTGGGTAATGACCTGTGTCATTCTCCATGGACTACTTTTCATCATTGCATACAATGTCTTGAACTGCTGAAACCTCACATGCGATTTGCTGCTTTGCTTAAGGAACTCAGATGCTGAATTTGTGAAATTACAGAAGACAAAAGCCCACCTGAGTATTTCATCTTTTGGTTTCCTAAAAAGAAAACACATCAGAAAGTCTCTTCGTTAGAAGAAACATTCTCATTTTTAAATATGCAGGAGAAAAATCCGTACGGAAATAAATTCATCACCATTATATATACAGCAAGCGTTAGAAGCAGTGTATACAAGAAGGGCCACTGCCCCCATGAGAATAAAACAAAGCATGTGGCAATATCTTGATTTAAAAAAAAAAAAACAAAAAACAACCCCAAACCCTAAAATCCCCGTGCATTAAGGCTTGGAAACAATGTCAGTCTGGAGTCAGACCAGGTTTTCTCTGCCACCTGTCTCATAACCCAGAGAAACCCTCCTGAACTCACTGGCCAAACCCACAATTCAGCTGCAAAATTCTAATTAATCTCACCTACCCCCATCAGCACAGGCCAAATCATCGTGTTCACGCTCTGGCAAGGGGCCCCTGGAGCTGCCAGCACACTTTCAGCACTGGAGTTACAGACACGGGGGTTATTTAGCCATGTTCCCTTCCCCAAAATCCTAACTCCCCAAAAGCCTTACAGGGAGAGCCCTGCCTGCAGAGCTTTGTGGCTGGAAAACTTCTCAGGGGTTTCAAGTGAGTTTTTGTGCCCGTAGGACTCAGTTTGGGAACTTTGCTTCCGCAATTGCTTTGGCTACAGTACGTTAGAGAAAGGATGTTGGTAGTAACTAGAAGATGGTTGCTAGCTACAATTTTAAATAGAACAAGCCTTACAGAAAGCTGCTTGCCATCTGCTCCTGGGCAGCAGGCAGAAATGGTTATTTTAACGTAATGTTTTCGTGGTTGGTTAAATTAGACTAATAAATTTTGTTTTGTAAAATAAAAAACAAAGATAAAACAGAAATTTGGCTGGGCTTTAGATTCCCCCATGATCAGTAACTTAAGTGTGTTAACCAGAATGTCTATTGATGAATCCATGAAGCTACATACTAAATGTTTTAGTGATCAAGATAAATCAGTTGCTCAGTCTCAAATTGACCTACATTTCATAAGAGTTGGCAGCCTCCCTGTCAGTCATCTTTATTGCTACTGGCATCTAGTGGTAACATTTAGCTGCATTTCTGAATTCCTGTAAAACAATCTTACATTCTGTCAAACCAGAGGGGGGAAAAAATAAAAATAGGTTTCCTGGGGAAAAAAATGCATCACGCTTTGTGAGAAGCTGAGATAATTACTGACTTTTGAGCGAGGCTGCTAGTACTACCTAAAAGTAAAATTTATCTTTGTGAGCTATTTGCAAAGTCAAAGTATTCAAAAAGACCCGCATAAACATTTTTATATGGAAGAAGAAGATAATAACTGATCTGGCATGAATTTGCTGAGCAAAGCACATCTTTTTTTAACTTCCCAATAAGATCATGGCTGCTCTGAAATAATTTAACCACCTACACTTCTAAATATGCGTGTGTGGAAAGCACATGCAAGTCTAAACAGATTTCCTCTTAGACTCTGTGCAATTGATACAAAAATCAACAGTTCCTCTAATACAGTCTGCGGGTCCGCACGGTACGATCGATAAGGAACGCTGAGTTCAGGATATAAAAGCCAAACGGACCCTTCCCAGCTGAGGACTTGCCCGGGGAGCCGTACCTCGCTCTGTTCCCGGGAGCTCTGCCTTCCACAAGTCTCGGCTGCATTGGCGACGGAAGGGGCTGGTAGAGTAGACGTACCACCAGCAGATTCCCGGAGATTTACTGGTTAGTTCCCGTGTAGGAAAAGCGGCAATAGGCGCTGTATGCAGCAGGATCCGTACCTGCCAGCATTTCTAACGGAAGTGACAGTGGCAGAAATCCAGAGAAGCTGCTGTGCACAAGGCTGCCCATCTGCACCTGTGCAGTCAGACGTCCTGAACACACCAGACTCGCTGCAGGAGCATGGATGGATCTCCTTTGCACGTGCTGGACTCACCGTATTTGGGATGCACAATAAACCAATGCAGACAGGGCATTTGCCTGGGAATTTTCAAAGATTACCACTAAAAGGTTTGGCAGCTGAGGTGGTAGCGCTGATGGGTATGGATACCAGCCACAGTCCTGTGCTAGGAATATAATTCTAGCCTTCCTCCTTGGCTGGCATGGAAACACCGTGAGTAGCCAGGCTGTGCCTCGGGGACAAACAACCCCAGCTAAGAGATTTAGCGGATTCAAAACGAGCACTCTTCCTCCGTCACGAACAAATGTCTTGGGTTCTATGGCAGCAGAGGCTCTGTGTTGGGAGGGGGACGGCTGCCATGCAGAACGACTAGAGCTATAGGTAAAGCACTATTCTGGTATTCTGTATCAATGTTTTGCAGGCCTGGCAGTGGTCACAGTTGATGCCTACAAGCACTGGATATTCCACAAGTTGAAGACGGAATACTGACTTGTTTACCTGAAGATAATAGGACTTCGGGGTATTTCCTCAGAGAAAATATAAATTTTAATATAATTTCATAAGCTTTGGAGGTTAGCTTGTCTTGTAGCTTCAGTGATATCAAACTTCTTCGAGTAGGAGCTAGATAGAAAGCTGTTTAGTTTTTGCCAGCGTATGTAAAACAAGACTTTTCTATCTGCATTGTAGATTGTTTGTGGACACTTCCAGATTCTTGTGCTTTCTGCAGTCATTCTGGGGACTGAACTCTCATTGATATCGATAGAGGTTCCATGAACAGGACACGTGCAGGATTTTGAGTGTAGAAGCCCACAGTGTGGTTTGGAGTAGTGAATTGCTTTTAGTTTGGAGACGACTGGGGGAGATGGGAAGAGCAACTGTACATTAAGGGAACAATTACAGATCTTCTTCCCGGTGACATCAATGAGAGATTTGCCTTCAACCTTCCACAGAAGAAGATTTTTAGCTTTAATTTGGGACAGTAAAGGGGTTTTTCAAAAGCACTAAAAGCCAGTGCGGGAGCTTGTTCAACTGCTCCTTTAATGCCTTTAAAAACCCCTGCACCAAAAGTGATAGCTAACAACATGAAATGGAAGTAAATAAAATGCATTTTCATTGCTGTTTTGAGTTACATAGTTCTCGTTTCTTGATTTGTTAATTGATCTGAATTGACACAATTTAATCTATATGGTGACCAAGAACAAAGTCAGTAACTGATACAGATGCAAAGTATAGCCACAAAGCAAGCAACGTGTAGGTGTAGACCCTAAGCAGCTAACAAAGCCAGGTAATAAAAGTTCACTGCCTACAGCCACAAGTCTTTTGTGTCCACACCTACCAAGCTAGGTGGCCATGTCAGCATTTACCAGCAGATAACCAATGCTCCCAGCTGACTAAAAGGAGAAACTCGAGGACATCTAGGACCCAGTCACACGTAAGAACTCGCAGACATCAGTCAAACACGACCCTACTTGCGTGGAGCACTGAGCATGTTCCTACTGTTCTTCAGAATATCAGAGCAAGAACTACCTTAGTGCTAGGTGAGCTTGTACAGGGCAGATGGCACCCGGACACTCACATCCCTTCCTCAGGTCCTCTCTGGCAGTAGCTGCCGTCAGAGATGTGATGGAACAAGGATCTAACAGAGGGTTCAGCTCTACTCAGTGCAACAAAAATTATTCCCTTCTGTATTCTCTGAGATCAAGCCCATAAGGAGCCCTGACATCATCTGGTTTGATATCATGGTCAGGCTCTCCATTTCACCTAAGACTCCTCTGCATAGCCTAGCAACTTATACTGGGCTAAAATATTTCCTCCAGAAATGATCTGTTAAATCAAAAAGGCGTTAAAGTGATGGGGTTTACGTCACTGGTCTGGTTAGGATTAACCAACCAGTCTCGCCATTAAAAATCCATGGCTGGCTTGATTTGATTTTGTGTAGCTTTAGCTTCCACATGTTGGCTGGATATTTGTACATCTTTCTCTGTTCAATTTAAGAACTTGTTAATATAAAGCATGTCCTCCCTGTAAAGGAATCTGATTGCCTCTTGATCTTCATTGTAAGCTGAACAGACTCAGCTGTAAGCCATTTTCTTCCTCCCTGAAATAATTTTTTATGGCTTTTTACTGCACAATCTCTATTTTTCTCAACATCTTAAAAGCATGAACGGTGGAACATTTTGCAAATTTTTAATTGATCTCACTTAATGCCATATGCAGATATCAAAATTACAGACCCCCTTTTATTCATTACCTTGCTCTGCATGGGATGTGCCTGAGATGAGATAATTCAAAGAGATGAAAAAGGGGCGAGGAGGAAGAGGACAAGAGGAGCATGCCGAGTTAGCGTTTACAGTTAAAAACCAAGAAAAATCAAATGCAAATGAACCCTACAAACCAAGACAATTAAATACTCCAAACTCCCAAGTTTTGGGAAGGCCAACAGCAACATTACGTGCTCTGTTGTTTAAGAAAAGACTTCAGCAGAGCCCTCCCTGTCCTGCAGCTCTCTACACTGAAAGTATTACTAGGTTTTTGTGTTTGGAAATTTTGCAGTGGAGGGTTCTTGGGGAATTTGGGTTCCACAGTAACAAAGTGTTTGCACATCTTCAGCCACAGACCCCAGAACAGGACCCAGAGCTGCTTCCTCTTCAGATAAAAAGCTTTTCTTAATAGTAGCGGAAATATCCACAGGTAGTCAAGGTTGTTCTCTTTAGCCAAAGATTTGCTGTTTCCATCGTATCGACAGCAGGTAGCAATGAACGGAGCTTGGCTTTGTTTCCTCTGCAAGTTGCAAGTCCTTTTTTTCTTTGACCAGATGGTGTACAGCCGCTTCTTTCGTTTCTAGGGCTGCATCCTTTTTTTCTTTTTTGTTTTCAGCCAGTTTTTTTCACCCTTTTAACGTGCATGTGCAACGCAAAAGACAGAGTTGAGAGCCAAATTAGGACAGGGATTTCTCCCTCCTTCATGCAATAAGGCACATGAAGCAACACGCTGTCTCAGTACTGTTAGTGAGCAGTGAGTACTGGTCATTCCCAGCTATGGTCCTTGGTACTTGTATCAAATCCTGATGTTGCCATGCGGATCTTACGGGTTCGGGAGCTTTACAATATTTTCCAAGTCCATAAATGACAGAATCCAGTATAAAAAAAGGTCAATATATTACTGTTGAAAAATGTTTTTTTTTTTCCTTTTTTTATACAAAAATTAAAAAGATCAAAATATATCACATTATTTACATATTGTGCTTCATGCTTAGAGATCACTGAAAAAGAACACACAGACAAACATTTTAATCAAACAGAAATGCTCCATTCATTACACTTAATAATCTTATTGTTAATATTATAAGGATTGGCATTCAGATTTCTTTTACTATTAAAGTACATCCAAACGATTTACCACAGAATTAAAAACATTTATATGCTAAGGGTGTGCTCACGTTCTAACTGAGGGTTTGCAACCAGTTAGTAACACGCTTGCTGTTAACTTGAACTGTGTCAACGTACCACACGTTTGAAACTGGGTTAATAATCCAGTTCCCTCAGCTTCAGTGGCATACCCCTGTTGGAGAAGGAGGTCACAGCATCCTCCTGCAAGCCCGGATCAAACCCGCATCTTACGGGGGACGCGGCTCTCCTCGTTCTCCTGGGCTGCCTTCAGCACTTACGGCCCCTGGCTGTTGTGGGTGCGTGAGACGGCACGAGTTACCTGACCACGTGCACCCCGATTTACTGATTCGAGTGCTGAAGCAGCATCGTGGTTGTGGGTTATAGTTACAATGGCAGAAAAGTCTTTGTTTGGAAAAAAAGGTTTTGTAACTCAGCGACAGAGGTAGCCCACTGTGAAAGTCTCAGCTAGTGAGTATGGGCTGAGTAAGTCACACATTTTGCAGAGTGGTGCAGTCTTTGCATGAGTGGTTGCTAAACTGCCTGGGCCATAATAAAAGCCTAACCTGAGCAAGCCTGAAAAAAGGCATTGCTACTATTACGAGAATGATTTTTCACACCTAGCAAGCTTTTGGAGCCGTGTTCCTAGCACCAGTCTACAGCTGTGGGGAACAGGACATGAAGCTAGATGGAATCCTGCTCTCCCAAGGTGTGTTGTTATGTCTGCCAGGCATGAAACCTGTTGCTTAAAGGATGCACAGCAGTGCAAACAATCACCATGCAAGCAAACAAAATTACTCAGGACCTGATCCAGGATATACAATTATTAATATTACTGTACCTTATGCCAACATCCTGCTACTGGCAGTCCGTCTGGCCCCTGCAAAATGGAATTTACAGATTTAATTTCTGTTGACAGTGACTTTAAGCGTCAGACCCCAAAACCTAAAGCTCAATCTTCACAATGATGAAAGGTGTAGCAGCACTGTTAATTACCATGCAAAACCCATTTACTGTATATGTACAAAACCAAATATGCAGGCAACGTAATCCGTGTGTCACACACCACACAAAACTGAATACACCCCAGGGTAAAAAAAACTCCACACAAAATAAACTTTCTTTTTCCTTTAAACAAAAAAGAAAACGTGAACAAATAAAAAAATTTGCAACCACGGTTAATTAACTTCATAATCTGCTTTATAAGGTAGTGGTTTTTGCAATCAGACATATATATGGAAAGCATGATGTGGAAATGTATTTTTTGTTAATATGTGCTCAGTTTGGGGGCAGTGTTGTAATTTTTTTTTTTCTGGATGATATCCTAATCGTGTTAAATTCGATCCTGCAGTAGTTAGTTTCTTTAAGAAATCTTGAGTTGCTGAACTGATTGAAATAGGATGAGTTGTGGACTATGCAAAGGGAGTGAAAATATTTGTCTTTTTCTGATGGAGATGCAACAAACATACAGAAGTCAGAAAGCCAGAAGAGCTTACTTACCAGGAGGAAAACACTGAAAAGGAAGGAGCCCCTTAGAAGAGGAGTGGACTATGTATGACCAACTCTTTCAAGATACTTTAGAAGAAATAGCTGACTTCAGCTGCCTTTTCTGATGCTGGATTTTTTTAAAGGCTCTTGGATCTCTGATTGCATGAATTTCTGCATGTAGAGCTACAGAGAGCACACATGCACTGACCCTTCCCTCAGAGCCACCCCCAAATTAACTAGGGGTGGGAAGCCACGAGGATGCATATGCAGCAGAAGTAACTGCTAGTGCAAATATAGGTCAAAATGCATTTTTACATTTTTTACTGTAAATGTCAGTCATCACATTTTTTGTATTCTGTATTGATTTTATATGTAAAATAGCCTATGCCCAATAAAGCAGACGCAGTGAAGCAAGGTTACCCTCTCCAGCTACTCATAGTGTAAGAGGTCAAGTTATTTTCACATGCTTTCCTATAACATTAGTTAGAAAAGATACACATTTCTGCTGACACCAGTCAATATTTTGGTCCATAACTATTCATTAAAAAAAAAAGTGGAACTTGTACATTTGCTAGAGTTGTCTGAGGGTAAAGGGAAAAGGGGACAAGGCGCAGAGCAGGAGTTTGATGTAGAAAGACCCTGATCTGCTGTTAAAGCACACTGTAACACCGACAGTCACGGGGCTGTTTCTGCCCTGGGCTTTTTCTCCTTCCTGTACACTCACAAGACTTATTTTGGCCATCATAAACCTCCGTGCCTCTCCACCATGTTTCATTCGAGTGATTCCAAAATGATTTAACTCAAAAAGAGCTTTGCACCCTGTGTGTAAGGCTGGTGCTCGTGCTCCTGGACTGAAAGCCGTCACTGAGAACCCAGCAAGCCTCCACCGCACGGTGGGGTGGAGAACGAAGACAACACTCGTGGCCAACACACAACAAACCCTCACATACATAAGGGGGAAGATGTGCAAGTGCTTTACTAACTACTCATGTAGTAGTTAGTGTTGGAGAAATCGCCTACTGCAGTTTACAGTGCCTGCAGCACACGTAGGTCTTGTATTTTCTGTGTAGTTAAGATAGGAAATAGTTGGTAAATACAACATCTCCAGGGAGTAAATCCGGAGAGTTGAAGCGAGCCTGCTGCTAGCAATTGGTTTCTTTGACACATACGAAAGTAATTTAACTTTTTGAAAGAGAGACAGCTGACTGCCCTTTTGTTCCTCTGAAGACAACTGCAAATCATCTAGCATGCAGCATTTTCTGTGCTTAAAAAAATGAAAATACAACAATGCCCTTTTTTAGCTAGTCGTGCAGAGCCCTTGTCCGGCAGCGGAGCACGGACCTCCCTGCGTAACCGCCGGACTTCAACCTGAGCTCTGCGGGCAGAGCTACGTGCTGACACTGCAAATGCCCTTCTGATGCCCAGGGTGCCGCTGAGCCCCTCCAGCCGCCGCTCCGCAGAACCGGCCGTGCATTTGGGAAAAGCTTTTCAAAACCCAGCTGGGAATCGGAGCGGCCGGGCTGCGGAAGCACAGGCACGAGGGGCACCAACGAGGGCCACAGGTGCTGAGAGAAACCACAACTAAAGGTTTAGCATCTATCATAAAGGGGCGAGCATCCCATCCCCTACATCGTCTCCCGTTGCTTACACTCGTCTAAAGTAGTTTTAACTGGGAGGAAGAAGGCACAAGGCACTGGTGTCCTTCTCTGCGTGCCAAATAGAAACATCTTGTTCCAGCTCTGCTGCCTTGTGTCCTGCCCCTCCCTGGAGGGTTTTGCTCCTCGGGACAGGGCTTGGCCACTGCAGAAACACACACACAAGCCATGCAAGAAAGAAAGAGAGCAGATACTGTACCAAAGGGCAGGGCATGCTCGCCCCGTCCAGGCCTGGTAAACCTGGGTCCCCTTGCCTGCCTGCAATGCTACGATCTCCCTGTTTGAAAAAATAACTGCTTGTTGAGAACGATACAGGACACGGGAATTACTCAAACAGGCACCCGTGTTTCTGCAGAGGAGGATGGGTCCAGAACTTTACCCCTCCATTTCTGATGATGCAGCAAGTCAGCAGAGTTGTTTTATGGTGGGGATTCACAGACACGTAGAGTCTGTCATCTGGGAAAGATCTTCTATACACAAACCAGAGACCCACGTTTGTAACAGCACAGTGAAAAAAGATGAGGGTTAAATCATGCAGCATGTTGAGGGAGGAAAGGTGATCCATCAGAAACGAAAGAATTGTAGTTCACAATTAATCTCCAAGCAAAATAAACCATGTTGACTGAAGGAGCTTTTTACTCATATAGTGGAGCTACACGGCAGCTTTGATTGCTATAGCTGTGCTGACAGGGTGAGACAAAAATCACACATTTAGGAAAGAAATGGGTTTTTTAGAGCATGTTGGAGCAGGTACCCGGCCCTACTAGTTAGGTGCAAGCTAGACTAGGGGCCAACAGCTACATTTAAATAGCTTTAGTTCAATAGATGATACAAATCACTTCCATCCTGCAGCCTCAAAGTGTTTTAGGGAAGGGATCTCTCTGGTTTTAGTCTTTATATGAAAGAGAGTAATAAAAAAAGAGGTAAATTTGACCAGGCCAAATGACTTCTTATAAACCAGTATAGATGCACTGTTTTCTGGGCCCTAGCAAAGGAATGAGGGGTTCTGGAAGTGGACTTGGGAGCTCCACCTTCCTCAGGCTCAAAGAGCCAGGAGGTTTCCTGGAAAGCCTCTTTGTACACGCTGCACGGCAGTGTCCCGGGATGTGCCTGAGAAGGGACAGAGCTGCTGTCTCGGGCGGAGAATCGCAGGGAGATCTCTTCTCCCAGAGGCATTTCTTGGCAGCCTGGGGAGCTCCGGCTCACACATCACACATCCTTGGCAGAACTAAGATGCTTCCGCGGGCGGGAGCGCCAGAGCCGGGCTCATCCCTCGCTCGGTTTGCGGAGGTGAAGGGATGGAGCAGGCCTTGTTTTCAAATCGCCTCGCATCCACTGCATTGAGCTACTCCTCGGTTTCGGATGTACTCAAAAGCCATGCCAGCAGCTTTACCAGGGCACACTATCTTCCAAAGAGCGTTTTACTGAAGCCCATTGTTCCCGACTACAATGAGAAGGTCTTAACACAAAGATTATTTTTACTGCTGTGGCTTGCTCCCAGCTGGCCAGAGAGGAGCCCTTACAGCCAGCAGTGAACTTCCAGCAGTGCAGATAAAACAAACCATTAATAAAAGTGAGAAAACAATAACCATCCGCTCTGATTTACTGCGAAATAAAGAACTACTAAACCCTCCCCCCCTTTCCCTGGCTGCAAAGCCGCGTCCCCTTGCAGTCCCAGCAGCGCGCGCTTGGAACGAGTGAAATAGAAGACGTACCACGGGACAAGGCTGATCCAGTCCGGGAGGGCCCGGTTCCCCCTTCTGCCCTTTGGCTCCTTTTCTCCCCGGTATTCCGCGCTCACCCTGTTGGTGCAATGGGAAAGTATCAGGAACAGGAGGGGAAACTCCTCGGCTTTAACTCGCACAGCACTTGCAGGGTCCCATCCCTCGCCCAGAGTAGGGCTGTTGGCACCAGTGTAACCTCCACTGACTAATGACATCACTGTGCAAATCTTCAGTTAAAGCTGGGTGGAGACATTTTAATGGGTAATGTTATAACAGAATGACTAAATGACTGGTTTTTGCTAGAAACCAGGTTGGTATCCGACAATAAGTGGGAGCACCAGCTTCCAGCTGCTCCTGCCTCCAGCTGGGCACCCTTTTATTTAAGGATCCCTGTAACAAAACCTTTGACTTGGATCCATTTTCAAGGTCTATAAACCAAAACTAGTGATTCTTCACAACCCGGAGCTGTCAGGCTGCTCCGTTTCCCCACAATGGTTGTGCCAGGGGAAGGACAGACTTGCAGAAAGCGCTTCCAACGGGGTAGGAATTAACTGCGTATCCTGCCCCACGCTGGGGCCATGCAGACACCTGTGCTACACAACGGGCCAGACAGCAGTGACCCAAGAAATGCTGCCAGGCTGGGGAGGGAAGCAGCACCCAGGGCAAGCATCGCTGCCTGCCGAACAGTGGCCAGTCCTGCCCCAACCAGCATCTCTCCAGCCATACCCCACTCACCTTCTCGCCTCTTTCACTTCTCTCTCCTTTCTCTCCTCTGAGACCTGGGAAACCCTATCATGACAATTTTTAGGTGGGGGGGAAGAAAAAAGAAAAAAAGGTTTCTAAGTTTAGCATGTGAACGTCCCAGCATCTCAGTTCAACATAAGCAACCTCCAGCGATCAACCCGTCCTCCCATGGTGAGAAATACGACATTTTATTCCTTTTGACTTGGTATCTCAGCAATTTCTTGGGAAAGCTACTGCTTTACCTACCCCAGTGACACTCCCTCTATTGGAGATTTTTGTTTCTCTGAATCCAATATAAATATTGTCAATCGGAAAGGGAAACCCCTGTGGCATCTTTAGCCGACCAGTTACCGCTGTGCGGTGGAAGCAGTCCGGCAACTGGCCTGAATTAAGCCCTTTCCTACAGACATTGTCTGTGGGCACTGTGTCTAAGGGACAGTAGTCTATACAGTGTTAGCGACACATTTTCCGACATTCTCAAGCAATTTGATGGCCTTTACATGCATGTTGTTCACATTTCTACATATCAATTAACGTTTTCCATACTCACATCCAGTCCTGGCTCCCCTGGCTTTCCCTGCAGTTGTAAAAATAAAAATTAAGATGTGTCATATTGAGTTTGGTGTTGCAGGCACTTACATCTAGTTGGTAAATACTACAGTAGTGACAGCACGGGCTCGCCCAACATTCCCTGGGACTCGAGGGGAGCTCCTCGCCATGCATCGGGATAGTGCTGGTGACCCCAGCTCTGCAGTTCTGGCTGGACCCACCACGGCAGGGATTTTATCAGCCTCTATTTTAGGATTACACCACAACCTCACTGCTCATTTCCCACACCGATGATTACCTTCTCGCCTTTGGTACCGGGTAAACCGATGAGCCCTGGAGCACCCGGGAGGCCCTTAAAGAAAAAAGAAACAAAAGCATTAGGATAGTTGCTATAAGGCAGGTTTCTGGCAGAAATGAGATAACGGGAAGATGACTCACAGCGGGTCCAGTGTCACCGTGGTCTCCTTTCTCACCGCTGTCGCCTTTCTCTCCCTTTGCACCATCCAAGCCCTGCACAAATGAAATGGCATCAACCAAGAAGACCTGGCAGCTCTGCCCAGGACAGCCACCTCACGCACCCACCACACCTCTGGGGTGCTCACACCTGCACTGCTGTTAATGTTTTCTCCTCTTAACCAGACCAAATAAGAAAATAGTTGAAAATACAGGTTTAAGCCTGCGGGCTTGGAAACCCTGAGTTGCAAACCCTGAACCTCTGCGCTGAAAGAGGATTTAAGATGGTCAATGCGTAAGTGGAAGGACAAATGGCTTGTTTTCCAAAATGCCAACTGCTGAACAGCACAGCCAAGGGATGTGTTGTCACAAACAGTGACAAAAAAAATCAGTCCCCAGAGCTGACAGGCCTTTGTGAGCCTGTAAATAACGCACTGGCAGCCTGGGAATAGCGGGTGACGTTTAATTTAGTGACTTACTTTAGGCCCCTGGATTCCTGGAGGACCCTGCAGGGAAGACAATGGTGCATCTGAAAACCAGAATTTAAAACACAAACCCCCAAGTTTGCTTCCCAAACCATTTCTTGCTCTAATTATGGGCTAACAATGGCCAAATATTTCTTTTCAAGACAGGTGGCAGTTTATTTGGTTCTCTGACATCAAATCAAGGGAAACATCACCTGGAAAGTACCTGGTTTTGAAGCACGTACTCTCACAGCAGAGACACAACTGTGTTCCTGGACACAGCAGAGGCATCCTGACCTTCCTGATGCTCTCAGCAGCTCAGCTTTTTGGACCATCGTAGGCACCAAACACCTTAGATAATCTGCATCAAAAATGCTCTGTGTGTTCATCACCACCCACATCCTCCCCACTGCAATTGATGGCAAAAACTTACCGACTTGGGCAAATTTATAGGAATATAGACACTATCATGGGGTGGGAACAGGTTTTCCCATCCCACACGGTTTTATCTTTTCCCCATCCCAAGGAGCAACTTGGATATTTGCAAAACGTGCCACCAACGCTGATACACTCTCCTAAATCAGGTGCCTCTCTCCCCTGACTTTTTTCCCAGTTTCACAGTAGCGCACAATTACTTAACAGAGCAACCAACCCACGTCCTTAACTAGTCATGTGCAATAACAGATCTCCAGAAATGCTCAATTGCATGAGCCGCTTTCCAGAGTCCTACCATAGGGCCGGGTAATCCAGGGGGTCCGGGCTCGGGTATGATCTGCAGAAGGGAATTAAATGGCACATTAATAGAGCCGGGCACAGCGTTGGCACAGAGGGAACACTTTGGGAATGGAAACCTCCTGCATCCCAGAACTGTGATTTAATGCCCTCTGATTTAATGGCTTTAATCAAAATATCTGCTAATCAAAGAGTTGCTCGTAGGATTTACAAATAACTGAATATTAATGAGCACGCGAATCAAGCTAGGCTCTGAAACGAGCGGTGTGACTCGTGCTACTCAGTGTATTTGCCAGTGGCAAAATGGATGTAATGGAAAATAATGCCATTTTCTGCGCAGACTAGAGGAAACCAGCCTTTTTGATTAAAAAAAAACCCAAACCAGGATAAAATTAGAGCTCTTGCATCACTAATAAAAAACTATCAAAACTCACCACTTTTTTATGGTTTTGTTTTAAGCAAAAGATATGAATAAGGGAAAAAGGATGCAGAAATCCTACAAAACTGCAAGAAGCCCTGTGGGTTTTTAGAGCAAAACATTAATTACAACAGCAGCATCCGATATCTCAACCATCAATGCAAAATCTCAGGTAACTTCGCGGTGCTGAGCATGCTCTTCCCTAATGAACAAACTCCGTTTAGATGCATCTGAAAGTTATTGTAGAAAATAGTTGGGTTTTGCTCCCCTCCGCTACACTGATGGATACGGAACTGGTGGCTCCAGCCAACACCCCCCCCCCGACTTTGCCTGACCTTATGTCATGGAAGAGGCTTTACAGTGCCAGGATCTTACATGATTATTCTGCAAACACGGTGAGCCAGTGTCTCCTTTTTCTCCTTTGTCTCCTTTTGGCCCTTCTGCTCCCTAAAAGATAAAAACATCACGCTGATGTGGTGCATCTTCCAGGAAAGCAAAAAAGAGAGAAAAATACATTTTTCTTCCCCTAAACCCCAGCCTTGGCTCAAGCAAAGCTCATCTTCATCCCCAGGGGACTTGGAAAAAAGATGTTCTCCTCCTTGCCACCAGCTGAGATGACCTTCTGAATAAGCCATTATCATCATCATCATTAGCAAAGACAATTCAAAGCTCCCGCATCCTCCTGCTCCGCGGTGACGCAGCGCAGATGGGCCATGGCTGAGCTCAGCAAGCCCAGCCGCACACCGAGCGTTTGCAGAAACCAGCACATTAAAGGACTGAGCAGTAGACGTACAGGGACAGAAAGAGGGACGTACCGGTGGACCCGATAAGCCCATTTCTCCTGTCTCTCCTTTCTGTCCCGCGATCCCCACGCTGCCCTGGTCACCCTTTGCTCCTTTGGGACCCTGGAAGTTTACAGAAAACAACTCGCTTAGGAGAAAACTGTTAAACCCCCCTCCCCATAACAGCCATTTCTGCGTTCCCACTGTTTCTCTCCGTATCGCAGGACGAGCTCACAAAAACATCTTTTAAAGATAAAACTCACATATGCCAACTTTGCGGGCGCAGCAGAATTTGGCTGGGCTGTAGCAGGGATCACAGCCATTTAGGGGTGGGAATGCTTACAGCAGAATTTGAGAGAGTGTCTGATGAACCACTGGTAAAAGAAGCCCCTTTAGCCACGCGCAGCATCTGCGGCTGCTGTAGGGCTGTAGCAATGGGCTGTTCAAGGAGATGCAGCTGAACGCTGCGGGGCAGAGCTTGCTCCTGGCAGGCTGAGATCTGCTTTTCACAGCCGCAGCTCTTATGGACACACAAGTAAACTCCTTTTTAACTCAGCTCCTGCAAGGTCTCGCTCCATCCAGCCATGCCCCGCGCACCTTTTCACCATCCAGTCCTGGTGGACCTGGCAAGCCCAGCTCTCCCTGAAAAGACACGGAGAAAGGGGAGTGCATGGTAAGCTAAAGCAAGAAAACATCTCGGGAAAGCATTTTGCAAGGAAATGAGTTATTCGTCTGCATCAGCTGTTGTGGTTCTGGGTTTGGCACTGCCAGGCTCAGGAGCGGCAGCAAGGAGGTTTCAGTGATGTGCCACCATTACTGGCTCATCCGAATTTGGGTGACACGGAGACCTTGAGAGGCACCGAAGTCCTGCCCTGTCCCATTCTTCCAAGAGATGTTTATCTGCAAGTTAAATTCATCTTTTAAAGAAATTACAGCTGACTGTAGGTCACTGATTATTGCTTGTGGAGCAGGAGGACAGTGCGGTCCCGCTCGGATGCGGTGTCGGGGCAGCAAGAAGTGCATGGGGAGGGCGGGATGGGGGGCGGCTTGGCACAGCTTTTAGGACCACCAGCCCCCCCCTCACAACTGCGTCTCCCATTTACTTCTGCCTCCCGCCACGTGCAATGAGGAAATCCAGAGGGGCTGGGATTTCACCTGTCAGGTGTAGGATTGGGAGCGGATTCGTTTCTGGGGCAGCATCTTCTGGAAGAGGCTGGAGGCCAGAGACAGGTCAACAAAACTTTGGTTTTCATGTGAAAACCTCATTTTTCAGCCCAAGGAAGTGCTAAATAGCATTTTCTTTACCATGCCTTGTCTCAAGCCCTGCAGGTAGCATCACCTGCCTTATTCTGGCTTGGGAGACACCTGCTACTCAGAGTGCTGCTAATGACCACATCTCCCTCTAGGAAACACCATCTGCATGGCACAGGTTGGGCTCACCTTGGGACCTGGAGCGCCTTGGGGGCCTGGTGGCCCTGGGGGACCCGGTGAACCCTGAAACACAGCAAAGAAACCGGGCATGAACATGACTCGTATGAATATGGCACATTGTCCCCGTGCTGCCAGGGATGAGCCGGGAGCAGCTCCTGACTGCAACCTATGACAGATGTTCATGTGACCCATGGTTGCCCAAACACCGTGATGAGCTCCGCTGACATGAGGCGACCTGAGGACCCCTCCGGCACAGCGGATGGTCATGCAAAAAAACCACAACCGGAGCTAGCTGGGTCTACAGGTGCAGCAGTACGTGTGTTTAAGGGGCAAAATGCCTTTAGCTGAAGCTGTGGCCCCAAACCTGGTCTCCTCCTTTTGCGTTCCCCCCTC